AGCCAAGTGAACGATAGGAATGGACCACCTTTCTCTTTCTTGTCCAGCAACCCTCATTCCAATAATGACCAAATTTGGCTTCATCATCTTAGACTTGGACACCCTTCCTTTAGTATTCTTCGTGTTATGTTTCCATCCTTGTTTAAGAATGTTAATGTAAATGAGTTTTACTGTGATGTTTGTGAATTTGCTAAACATCGACGTGTCTCCTTTCCTTTGAGTAATAAAAGAACTACGGTTCCTTTTTCCTTAATCCACAGTGATATTTGGGATCCATCTCGAGTTCCCAACATCTCCCGGGCTCGTTGGTTTGTCTCGTTCATTGATGATTGCACTCGGGTTCATGGGTTTATTTGCTAAAACAAAAATCTGATGTGAGCACCATCTTTCCTATTTTTCATAAAATGGTCAAAACTCAATTCAATGTTGGAATTAAGAGGTTGAGAACAGATAATGCTAGAGACTATTTTAATCAAACTTTATCTCCATATCTTCAAAAAGAGGGAATTATTCACGAATCTTTATATGTGGACACACCCCAACAAAATGGGGTTGCCGAAAGAAAAAATGGTCATCTTTTAGCCTCTGTTCGTGCTCTTTTGTTTCGAAAGAATGTTCCAAAAACTTTTTGGGGAGAAGCTGCCCTCAATGCAGCTCATCTAATAAATCGTATCCCATCTTGGGTCCTTGACTTTAAAAGTCCAATGGAAGTGTTATCTCAGTATTTTCCAGATTTCAATATGTCAACTAAGTTAGCCCCTAAAGTTTCCGGATGTGTTTGTTTTGTTCATGTTCACTCTCATGGTCAAAACAAGCTTGATCCTAGAGCTGTCAAGTGTGTCTTTATAGGATATTCCCCTACTCAGAAAGGATACAAATGCTTCAATCCTACCACTAGAAAAACTTATGTGTCTACTGATATCACATTTGCTGAACCAGAAAATTATTTTTCTAATCCTTATCTTCACGGGGAGACATCATCTATGGAAGATAAGGATTTGTTTTTGAGGGACCATCCATGTTAGTCAAAACATTTCCCATGCAAATTGAACCCAATCCTGAAACTGAAATTGAACACATATCTGCAACCATTTCTGAAGTCGAGCCTATTGAGTCATCTATCGAATCATCTCCTAATCCTTCTAAAGAACCATCAAATCCTACACTCACACAGCCAGTACAGGTTTACTCAAGAAGAATAAAGCCTGTGATCAATCCTGTGCAAGTTCAAGAAACCGAATCGTCACTTGGGAATGAGGTAAGTCCTTCTACTAGAGCATCACCTACTGTTCTTGATTTGGATCTGCCCATAGCCACAAGAAAGGATGTTAGAAAGTGCACAGAACACCCTTTATCACAGTTTGTGTCCTTTAAAAAATTATCAGCCCCACATAAAAGCTTCCTTACTCATCTAAACACTATAGCCAGCCCACAAACCTTATCTGAGGCACTTGGCAAAGAGGAATGGAAGCATGCAATGAGAGTAGAAATGGAGGCCTTGGAGAAGAACAAAACATGGGAACTAGTGGAATTACCAACTGGTAAGAGACCGGTAGGATGCAAATGGGTCTTCACAGTGAAATATAAGTCGGTTGGATCCAATGAGAGGTATAAAGCGAGACTAGTAGCCAAGGGGTATACACAAACCTATGAAGTGGATTATCAGGAGACATTTGCACCAATGGCGAAAATGAAAACAATAAGGGTGTTATTATCTCTTGCAGCAAATTATGATTGGACTTTACAACAGTTCGATGTGAAAAATGCCTTTTTACATGGAGATCTTGAGGAGGAAATATACAATATGGAAGTTCCGCCTGGCTTTGGCATAAATAGAGTGTGTAGATTGAAAAAGGCATTGTATGGGCTCAAACAATCTCCTCAGGCATGGTTCGGAAGGTTCACTAAAGCAATGTTAAATATGAAGTACAAACAGAGTCAGGGTGATCATACATTGTTTATCAAGCATTCTGCTTCAGGGGGAGTCACTGCGTTGATGGTTTATGTGGATGATATTATAGTGACTGGAAATGATCCAAATGAAAAGGAAGCTCTTCAGAAATATTTAGCAAAAGAATTCGAAATTAAGGACCTTGGGAAGTTAAAGTACTTCTTAGGAATAAAAGTTGCTCGGTCCAAGGAAGGAATCTTTATTTCACAGCAAAAATATGTTCTTGATTTGCTAGAAGAAACAGGTAAACTCGGTTGTAGACCATCAGACACGCCTATTGAGCCAAATCATAGACTAGGAGAGTCTATGGAAGGAAAACCAGCTGACAAAGGCGTGTACCAACGACTTGTTGGGAGGTTAATCTACCTGTCACACACACGGCCTGACATTGCATATGCCGTGAGTGTTGTAAGTCAGTTTATGCAAAACCCTATGGATGTCCATCTCCATGCAGTATACCGAATATTGCAATATTTGAAAAGTAGTCCAGGAAAAGGGATTCTCTTTAGAAAAAGCACAAATATGGAACTAGAAGCCTACACAGATGCTGATTATGCTGGCTCTGTTACTGACGATCAACATTTGGGTTTTGTACCTTTCTTGGTGGAAATTTGGTAACCTAGAGGAGTGAGAAACAACTGGTGGTAGCAAGATCTAGTGCAGAGGCAGAATTTCGTTCGATGGCACAAGGTATTTTTGAGTTGTTATGGCTCAAGATTATCCTAGAGGACTTGAAGATTAAATGGAAGAACCCAATAAAGCTTTATTGTGACAATAAGTCTGCAATAAACATAGCTCATAACCCAGTTCAGCATGACAGAACTAAACATGTGGAAGTTGACAAACATTTCATAAAGGAAAAGCTTGAGAGCGGATTAATTTGCACTTCCTACATTTCTACAGAGGGTCAATTAGCAGACGTTTTAACTAAAGGATTGACAAGTTCCGCATTTCAAAGGATTATAAGCAAGCTAGGGATGGAAAATATCTACTCCCCACTTTGAGGGGGAGTGTTGGAAATTCAAATTTAATTGAAATCCCAGGATTCTTGTATTTAGCAATAATTATAGGGATAGCAGTAATATAGGGAGTAATTATAATCAATTAGCTGTAAATTAGTAGTTAATTGTTTCATGATTTCTGGGGATTAACTTCCTAGAATAACAATTCATTACTGTATAAATTCTTTGTATTTAGTCATGTTTAATAAGAATTAAGAATTCCATAATTCTCTTCAGAAAGCTTTATCGGAGAAACATGATGAAAGAGATTACCATGAACCAAGCGTGAGCAATATCTATTGTCCGAGCTGTTGGTGTAATAAAAACAGTGTCACATCCCTACGGATTTCAATCGAATAAATCCCATCAATTAACCCCATATGACTGCATCAAAAAAGTAAAAAATAGAGGAGCAGCCTTTTGAGTAATAGAGACGAAGACAATCACCTAATTTGTCTGATAATCATACAGACTACTGTGTTTACAGCAGCAAACAGCTGTTTATACTACTCAAAAGTGAAACATGATGCAATGCAAATCCAAGCTTCAAACCATTAAATTAAAACTTTTCATTCAAGACTTAAAGACAATTAAAAATACCATTTCTTTAAGAGAGAGAGAGAATCATCATTTTGACGACCACTCAAAATATACACTAGTGTCATAGGCCAAAACTTCATGGCATAATTATAAAACTAAAATGAAAATAACATGCTCATTAGTTTTGGAAAGAAAACTTTCAACGATAGTGAACTAAATGCCCCACCCGTCAAGAAGTTTCTGAAAGTGCTCAGAAGAACAAAGAATATGATACATATATGGCTAAAGTACCNCCCAATACTATTTTTAGCCATTGGATCAACACTCCCTGACATGATGACAGTTAGACTATTGGACATGTTAATGCTAATTAAACTGCAATTGTAAGGGGAGAAGAAGAAAAGGATATCATAAGGCACTAATCCACGATGTCTATGGCTAACAATGATGTTCAATGTAAAGCTATTAAATTTCACCTGTTTGAAGATCATGTAAAATTTCAATTTCCTAAACTGCCCTTGACATTTAGACAATGTGATAATTGGTGCTACACAAAACCAGCAATGGGTGAGCATGGGTAAAACTTAGACCTGGATTCGGCAGGTACCCAAACCACCGGTTCCAGGTAGGAATCGGAACCGACCCTCACAAAGTAGGCTTCAGTTCTAGAAAATTGGAATTGAGAATTCCCAAGTCTGGTTCTAGTTCCTGAAGTGCTAGAACCGGGGACCAGAACCAAAACCTACATTCGGGTACCCTACTGCGAACCAATTTAGGAACTGAGGGTGTATGTGTTAATTCTGTGAAATTCTAGGGGTGTATTTTTCATTTTTTTAAATTGATAGAGGGTCATTTAATTTTATAGGGTACCCGGGAAAGGAACCTGAACCTGTATTTCTGGTTCCGGTTCCTAGCAATTTCAATGAATACCCAGAACTGCTCACCCCTAACTAGCATGAACAAATGATATGGAAGAAGTGAATAAAACAAACGCAGGAAGTAAGAGGTTGATAGGAATTGAGCTAAGCAGTGGACCTTTGATAGGAATTGAGCTGGGCAATGGTCCTTTTGTAGGCTTTGGGTACAACTCTCCTTGGAAAACCAACTTGCCAAGGGAGGGTGTCCGACTCCTTATAAACCGCATGCCCACTATTTTTTCTTTCAATATGGGATCTTAACATAGGTCTAAAATCACTCTAGAATGTTTGATAGTGCAATGAGGATCAATGAGCATGGTAGAAATCTCCAAATTAATTAAGTAGAGATTTACGAAGGAAAATCTACTACTTCAAGTAGAGCTGAAAGGTGGTTTAATGTTTAAGTAATATTTCCCCGAGTACTCGACACCTCAGAACATTATGAAGGCACTGATGAGGTTTATCCTTGGATACAAGAGCAGCAATTTTAAAATGGAGGGGCAGCATCATGTAAACAAAAGAAATTCAACAGATAAAGAACTTAACTAAAATAAAATATGCACATAATAATTCAATAATAAAATATGCATATCATAAAGAACAAAGTGAAATAAGGCTCACCTCAGGATTCCTTGAAACGAAAAACATATCACCATCAAAATCCCCCCCTGCTATCTCATCTGCCACAGACCGTGGACCTTTGCAAGGAAAGAATATAGCATACTTAGCATTTCCAACAATGTCATCCAATTCTTTCACGTGTTTAGCCTTCAAGACATGGATATCTCCAAAATGTAAACCAGGATTGCGATAAACTAAAACCTTCTCCCAAGAAACTTGGCCATCATTCCTATATTACAGACAAACTTAAATGAGCACTTGCGACTTGATGCAATCTAATCAAAACATCACAAACTTTCTTTACTTGCCTAGGTCAAGATAAAACATGGATAAATCTTGGGGAAGAGAAAAAAAAAAAAAGATGTGAACTATAAGGAAACACATAAAATCTATCAACTATTGGAACTGTCTGTATGCGGACACCAATTATTCTGATATGTGCACAAAAAAGTGTGAGGGGCATTTACAGAACAGCCCCTCCTCTTCCCTTCCATCCTTTTAAGACAAATCAATTGAAACAAGGGACTGCAAGTAACTTCTGACTCCCAAAGACAGCCTAAAACAACTAAAAATAGCAGATAAAACATAACAAATATAGTAAAGATCCAATATAAGGTCTAAGGAACTCTAGTTTAGACAGTAACAATTATAATTGCATCAAAGAATGCCCTAAGCAGTCCATATAACGAAATGGCAGGCTTTGAGTCAAACAGAAGTGTGCCATGAACATACGTACAGTATGATGCAAACTTCATCACTCTTCAGGATTCCAGTAGGGTCGACTGTCCCCATTAAGTAATAACTTTCAGTTACAGGAAGCTTTCCACCTTGAAGACCCTTTTTTTCCTCCTTCAGAAGTATAGACAGACGATACTTCAAATATGGTTCATCAAGACAAATCCCAGATAAAATCATTCTCGCCACAATGAATTCATCCATCCCTCCATAGTTTAGGGAAACTGCATTCGTAGAAAAACAGCTTAAAAAGTCCACTTGAAGGAGTGAAAGGAATTAGGAAAAGCTAAGGACACAGCAGAAAGGAGTTAATGGGACAAAAAGAATCGACATGTGCCTCAATGTCTAGAAAGATTGTGGCAGGGAAATTTTTTTTATAACAGAATGCTAAACAACCCTTAAGAAGATGCCAAAATAAGAAAAAAAAAATATGGTCAATAATTACATATATGATCTAAAAGAAAGAAACTGCCAGGGCAAAAAGAGTTATTGCAAACAAACAGTGGCATTGCTTATGGGAAAACTACCTTTTAAGGCATTCCGTTTATTGGAGAAGACACTGTGCGCATCTTCCAAAGCATTTCTCACTATATCCACAAAAAAGCTTTCTGGGACCCCTCCATAGTTAAGCAATGCAATTAAATGCCTAGATAGAGACGGCTTTCCTGGTTGCTTGCTGGAATATGAAAGGTAAGTTACAAATCTTAACCAAAAACATAGGAAAACCAGCAGGACATCTGACTTCCTCACAATATGTACATTAGGCTGCATTAAGCCTTTCATAATCATGCTTGAAAACCCAAATTAGTAACACCAGTGTAGGCAAACTTTATCCAATGTTTATACTTCACATTTAAATGAACCAGATTCAGACTACTTCTGTCTAAGTTATCAATTCAAACCAACAATTGAAACTTTGCTTTAAAACCAATTATGGCAATTGAATTTTATGATTTTCATTGGAAAACAGGCTCAACGATTGTATGCTTTTCTGAAAAACATATATATCATGGTGTTGAAAATTCAGATTTAATTGAAATCCCAAGATTCTTGTATTTAGCAATAATTATAGGGATAACAATAATCATAGGGAGTAATTATAATCAATATTAGTAGTTAATTGTTTCATGATTTCAGGGGATTAACTTCCTAGAATAACAATTCATTACTGTATAAATTCTTTGTATTTAGTCATGTTTAATAAAAATTAAGAATTTCATAGTTCTCTTCATAGTATCAAAGCTTTAGGCTCTTTTCTGGGATTAGAAATCTCATCCTACAGGCATTCATTGCCAAGATCCTTTGTGCCCTGCTTGTATCCTATATTTTTCTTATTCTTTTTCTGTTTAGCCTTCATTGCTAAAATATGTCTTCCACAACCGAGAAAACCATTACCTCCCAGTCTGAAGCAGTGACTCTTAATCAAACAACAAGAGAGCTACCTACTATTCAATCTGCTTACAAAAATTTCTCACATACCATCCCTGTCCTAGCAACTAAAAAGTATCTATCGCTGATGGATCTCTGGCCACTGTTGCTGGCCAAGGAGACATTATTCTGAGTCCATCCATGACTCTTAAAAATGTACTACATGTACCTAAGTTATCTACAAATTTTGTGTCTATTCATCAACTTACAAAAGATTTAAACTGCAGTGTGGTGTTTTCTCTTATTTCTGATACATTTTAGGACCAAGTTACGAAGAGGATGATTGGACATGCTAAGGTGAGACAAGGTCTTTATTATCTAGAGTTACCTAACAGCCAAGCGAACGATGGGAATAGACCACCTTTCCCTTTCTTGTCCAACAACCCTCATTCCAATAATGACCAAATCTAGCTTCATCATCTTAGACTTAGACACTCTTCCTTTAGTATTCTTTGTGTTATGTTTCCATCCTTGTTTAAGAATGTTAATGTAAACGAGTTTTACAGTGATGTTTGTGAATTTGCTAAACATCAACGTGTCTCCTTTCCTTTGAGTAATAAAAGAACTACGGTTCCTTTTTCTTTAATCTACAGTGATATTTGAGGTCCATATTGAGTTCCCAACATCTCCGAGGCTCGTTGGTTTGTCTCGTTCATTGATGATTGCACTCGAGTTTCATGGGTTTACTTGCTAAAACAAAAATCTGATGTGAGCACCATCTTTCCTATTTTTCATAAAGTGGTCAAAACTCAATTCAATGTTGGAATTAAGAGGTTGAGAACAAATAATGCTAGAGACTATTTCAATCAAACTTTATCTCCATATCTTCAAAAAGAGGGAATTATTCATGAATTTTCGTGTGTGGACACACCCCAACAAAATGGAGTTGCCGAAAGAAAAAATGGTCATCTTTTAGCCTCTGTCCGTGCTCTTTTGTTTCAAAAGAATGTTCCAAAAACTTTTTGGGGAGAAGCTACCCACTGCCCCATCTAATAAATTGTATCCCGTCCTAGGTCCTTGACTTTAAAAGTCCAATGGAAGTGTTATCTCAGTATTTTCCAAATTTCAATATGTCCACTAAGTTAGCCCTTAAAGTTTTCGAATGTGTGCTTTGTTCATGTTCACTCTCATGGTCGGAACAAGGTTGATCCTATATCTATCAAGTGTGTCTTTAAAGGATATTCCTCTACTCAGAAAGGATACAAATGCTTCAATCCTACCACTAGAAAAACTTATGTGTCTGCTGATGTCACATTTGCTGAACCAGAAAGTTATTTTTCTAATCCTTATATTCAGGGGGAGACATCATCTATGGAAGATAAGGATTTGTTTTTGAGAGAACCATCCATGTTAGTCAAAACATCTCCCATGCTAATTGAACACAATCCTGAAACTGAAACTGAACACATATCTGCACCCATTTCTAAAGTCGAGCCTATTGAGTCGTCTATTGAATCATTTCCTAATCCTTCTATAGAACCATCAAACCCTACACTCACACAGCCAGTATAGGTTTACTCAAGAAGAATAAAGCCCGTGATCAATCCTGTGCAAGTTCAAGAAACCAAATTGTCACTTGGGAATGAGGTAAGTCCTTCTACTAGAGTATCACCTACTGTTCTTGATTTGGATCTACCCATAGCCACAAGAAAAGGTGTTAGAAAGTGCACAGAGCACCCTTTATCCCAAACTGTGTCCTTTAAAAAGTTATCAGCCCCACATAAAAACTTCCTTACTCATCTAAACACTATAGCCACCCCACAAACCTTATCTGAGGCACTTGGTAAAAAGGAATGGAAGCATGCAATGAGAGTAGAAATGGAGGCCTTGGAGAAGAACAAAACATGCGAACTAGTGGAATTAACAACTAGTAAGAGACCAGTAGGATGCAAATGGGTCTTCACAGTGAAATATAAGTCGGATGGATCCATTGAGAGGTATAAAGCGAGACTAGTAGCCAAGGGGTATACACAAACCTATGGAGTGGATTATCAGGAGACATTTGCACCAGTGGCGAAGATGAATACAATAAGGGTGTTGTTATCTCTTGCAGCAAATTATGATTGGACTTTACTGCAGTTCGATGTGAAAAATGCCTTTTTACATGGAGATCTTGAGGAGAAAATTTATATGGAAGTTCTGCTTGGCTTTGACATAAATCTAGGCAAAAACAGAGTGTGTAGATTGAAAAAGGCATTGTATGGGCTCAAAAAATCTCCTCGGGCATGGTTCGGAAGATTCACTAAAGCAATGTTAAATATGAAGTACAAACAGAGTCAGGGTGATCATACATTGTTTATCAAGCATTCTGCTTCAGGGAGAGTCATTGCGTTGATAGTTTATGTGGATGATATTATAGTGACTAGAAATGATCCAAATGAAAAGGAAGCTCTTCAGAAATATTTAGCAAAAGAATTTGAAATCAAGGACCTTGGGAAGTTAAATTATTTCTTAGGAATAGAAGTAGCTTGGTCCAAGGAAGGAATCTTTATTTCATAGTAGAAATAAGTTCTTGATTTGCTAGAAGAAACAGGTAAACTCGGTTGTAGACCATCAGACACGCCTATTGAGCCAAATCATAGACTAGTAGAGTCTATGGAAGGAAAACCAGCTGACAAAGGCATGTACCAACGACTTGTTGGGAGGTTAATCTACTTGTCACACACACGGCCTGACATTGCATATGCGGTGAGTGTGGTAAGTCAGTTCATGCAAAACCCTATAGATGTCCATCTCCATGCAGTATACCGAATATTGCAATATTTGAAAAGCAATCTAGGAAAAGGGATTCTCTTCAGAAAAAGCACAAATATGGAACTAGAAGCCTACACAAATGCTGATTATGTTGGCTTTGTTATTGACAGAAGATCAAACATCTGGGTTGTGTACCTTTCTTGGTGGAAATTTGGTAACCTGGAGGAGTCAGAAACAACCGGTGGTAGCAAGATCTAGTGCTGAGGCAGAATTTCGTTCGATGGCAAAAGGTATTTGTGAGTTGTTATGGCTCAAGATTATCCTAGAGGACTTGATTAAATGGAAGAACCCAATAAAGCTTTATTGTGACAATAAGTCTGCAATAAACATAGCTCATAACCCAGTTTAGCATGACAAAACTAAATATGTGGAAGTTGACAGACATTTCATAAAGGAAAAGCTTGAAAGTGGATTAATTTGCACTCCCTACATTTCTACAGAGGGTCAATTAGCAGACGTTTTAACTAAAGAATTGACAAGTTCCGCATTTCAAAGGATTATAAGCAAGCTAGGGATGGAAAATATCTACTTCCCAGCTTGAGGGGGAGTGTTGGAAATTCAGATTTAATTGAAATCCCAGGATTCTTGTATTTAGAAATAATTATAGGGATAGCAGTAATCATAGGGATTAATTATAATCAATTAGTTGTTAATTAGTTGTTAATTGTTTCATGATGTATGGGGATTAACTTCCTTGAATAACAATTCATTACTGTATAAATTCTTTGTATTTAGTCATGTTTAATAAGAATTAAGAATTCCATAATTCTCTTCACATGGCAGTAGTGATACATACAAAATGAAAATAATATGAAATAAAAGTAGAATGAAGAGTACCTTGTATTGACTATTTCCAATGAATTGCTTGTCTGAGTACCAGACAGATTTGGATCTGCCTCAACTTTAATCATTGAAGGTCTGATCTGAATAGTTTGAGAAGGAAGCTGCAAAATTCAGAAATGATAACAGCATAATTTCGTCAAAGTAGTACAACAATGAAAAAAACTCTAGTCATAACTAAGAGCTCAATCATTCATAGCTGATGATAGGATATTCAATAAAAGCAAAATCTTGCTTATCAAAACAAATGTTACAAACTTTTATCTGGAAGTAATGAGAATAGTTTATTAAAGGTCATATGAACCCTTCAAAAACACCAAATATTTGAAGATCCCCAATCACAAAATGAAAATACAATCCACATATGATTTTGGATGACCAAATACATTGTAGATAGTGATCAGTCTATCAAAAAACTTCAATATGATAATTAACATCATAAACCTGTGATTCATACCTTTCTTAATCATGAATTGACATTTTAACTACACAAGGGTCATGTTTTACTTTCGGTTTTAATTCTTAACCCAAATTAAAACATTTAAATCCAGTAGAAATACCCTAGATGTACAATCCATTTCAGGAAAGACATTTTTGCTAAAAAAGATACAAATGCTAAGGTCCACAAATTGTACAGGCCTGTAGATCGATGGATTTAAGTCTAATTTCATCACTTCGGACTGTTTTCATCAAAGGCGCCCTCAAAAGCAAGTTTGTTTTAATTGAGTTTAGCTCAATTATAACTTTGAACATTTATCTTTAAGGAAGAATGATGAGACCAGGATGATGCGGGTGTAGGATAGCAAGTAGTGGATAGAAAGGAAGCTGGCAGGAAGTTTCCAATATTAGTAGTATGTTAAGGATGGTTTTAGGTTGGGACAGGCAGCAATTGTTGGTTGGGACAGCAAAGGAATTTAGTTATGGAGAGAGAGCTGGAGGATAAAAAGAGAGAGAGAGAGCAAGACTGGTTTTACACAGAGAAGAAAATAGGAAAAAAAAGGGGGAGGAGCTAGCCCTCGAAGTCTAGCAATATTTTTCTTGTTTTGAGTCTTGTTGTTCTTTTGATTGTTGTGTCGTTCCTTTTGGGTTACTTTTGTTGCCATTGTTATCTGTGTTGCTGAATATCAATAGAGAATTCCATCATCTTTTCTTGTTTCTTGGTTGTGGAGTTGTTACTGTTTCATTGTTTGGTTGAATATTGGAAGGGGCTCTATCAAAGAACAATAAAAATAAACAAAGATATAAGAGTTTCAATGAGAAGTTCATATGAGCTTTTCCATTACCAGCTTTCAACTAACTTAATCTACATCACTAACAGGGCCAAAAAACTGATTCTAATATATTGCTTGTTAGTTTATACAATAAGTGTAAGATTTTGTTAATTATTTACTTATTCTTCACTTAGTAACACATAAGATCAAGACCTAGTCCATTCCCATATATTCTTACTACTTGAGCTAAACCCGAAGAGCATGTATGTATTAGAAAATTATATAGGAACTAAACTCAATCCCTCAAACAATTATCAATACAAAAAATGGAATTAAAGCACTAATATTCTTCTTCTAGAAAAGCAAAATGGCACATTTATACCTTCTTGTTCACCAGCAGAGTTCCTTTGACAGCACGACCTTTGTGGAAGAGACGGACCTGCATTAGCAAAGGCTAGAAACAAGGAAAAGAGAAAAAATAACATATTCTAAGTTCTACAGTGAACATTGGAAATAAATTATATAACTAGTCTTTTTTTTTTTTAAAAAAATAAAATAAGTGATACACGTACTGGTACCCCACTGTGAGATTCTTGCTGATCCCCCTCACAAAACTTCCCTTCAAATTCTTTCCCATTAGCAAATCTCTAATGACATTGAAAATACTGCAAATCAATAGACAAGTCTTGCATGCATAAGATTAACAGAAACATATAAAAGTGCCACCTATAAGTTAAATTCAGTTGGCACATGGTCATTGTGGCAATATATACTTGCTGGGCTATTGCACCGGCTATCTAAAGTATTAGTTCTAATTTCTCAATCAGCAGAAATTGCATCAGTACACAAAGAAATCAACATCAAGGCCTGACTTACAAGTTTATCGACAAAATTATATAGATATATAAATTAGCAGAAAAATGGCTGATAATTCTAAATATAACAAAAGCATTTCAAACATAAATGCTCGTAAAACTTATATTCGGGTTGATATTTTACATTCATTGCAAAATCTTCTATGAGTAATCAGGTACCTAATTCATTGCAGATCAAGCTCCAAATTACAAACCTCAATGCTGTCATCATTTTTGCACTTCCCTTTAAAGATATTATTTGGGCATTTCAGAGCCAAGTCCTCTGATATAAAACCAGTTCCATCTGTATGTATAAGAAGCTTCCCATCTTTATAGACAGGATTGTCATCTTGATCCTGCAAATGGGTTTAAGAAAAAGAAAAAGAAAAAGTTGTGTGAGCAAACAAATAGACCTATACTTAGTCTATTGTCTTCCAAGTTTATTGAAGGCAGGCAATATATATGAATAGAGAATTAAACTACAGATCATACATAGCAAGGTATATCTTCAATTGTCTCAACATTTACTTTCGAAAAATCCAACTCCAACTTCATAGTCTTGGACAAAATTAGAGAAAGCCTGAAATCTCAACAGAGAAAATTAAATTCTATTATCTAGAGAACACACTTATATTGGGTCCTAAAAGGCTTACGTATTACCGTGACATATAGTTTGCCATATTTGAAACAGTGTGAACGTGCATAAATAAGGCTCTAGCTTCACAGACTGTTTTTCCAGATAAAATATAACGTTGACCATTGTCAATGGTTGCATCAGATTCCAAGCGCACAAAATAACACTTGACAGTTGATGATGTTGGGTCCTTCTTCTTTTCTTCTTTTCCTCCATCTTTAAACACTGATCAGTAACCATATTGACATAGAAAAAAAAATTATTCAATGATTTTTACCACTCACTAAACAATTTCACAATTATTTATAGTAAAAGTGAAAATAACAGCACAAACATTAGCGCAATGACAAGACTCACCAAAAAACCGGTAGCGACGCAGACCAACAAGGATCCCTTCTCTTCCAATCTTTCTGTATACATCATAATGGCTAGTAGAACTGTCTTCTTCGAACTTGACCATGAGAACGTTGTCATCTCCCAGTTCTCTTTGTAAGTGAGTTTTTGTTTGATTTAGATAAGGGCCCTGAAATTATTATTTTTATTTAAAAAAAAAAAAAAATGATATATCTAATCTTCAGTTTTCTTTAAAAAAGAATTGAAAGATGTTAAATAGGATTCTGTTGATAAATAATAATATGAGCAGTAAATCTGAGGATCTAACGAAAATTATATGAGAGATGATTATTAATATTAGTCACTGAGGCGATGTGTGGAGTTCAGAGAATTAATACAGGTCCATCTTCTGCAAGATAAGAATAAGTACATAAATAAAAACTAGGCCAGCAATAAGCCCCAGAATGAACTGAAATCAAGGAAGCTGAACTGCAGTATGAGACTTGCAATTCAAAAAATTCCAATTATATTGATATAGCACATATAAACGGTCTTTTAGAATTCTAGAATTATGTCTCATAAACATAGCACAGATATCACAACCCGTGATCTAGATTCAGCTTAATATTGTGTGCCTCAATATTGAGCAGTAACCTAAGTAGACTTAGCAAACCAGTAGACCAGAAATTCAAGTTCTCTGTTTTTATATTCAAAAACACTTCCATTCTCATAGAAGTAGTCACAGTTAGTGTCATAACGACAAATATGCATGGATATGATCAATAGGACAAACGAACCTTGAAAGTATAACTGCCATCAGGGGATACATGACAATGATAGATGTGTGTTTTTCCAGAATCCCAGACACTGCATAAGAATACAACAAGCTAATCAGCCATGCATTTGATGCAAAGAAGGGAGCACCCATATCCAAGAAACAAAAATTGATGGAAAGCCATTTATATCTCAACAAATCAAACAACTCAATTTCCTATCCCGCAATTCGAAGAACAAAGCAGATTTTATTAACATTCTGTAGATAATAATTATATAAGAGAGAGAGAGAGAGAGAGAGAGAAGGTAAGGCATTACCAAGAATATGATATGGGCAGTCGGTCTTTCTGGTCCATATCATTTCCGAAAGCTTTCCAAAGCTCCAACTCAAATCTGACCATTGATAAATCTTTCAGCTCCAGAATTTTATCAGCAGTCATTGCGTCTTCCAATTTTTTCCTGTTAAAATAAAACAATAATGAAAAAAAGAAAGCAGGTAAAGATTTGAAAACCAAGAGCAGTAACTTACTTCCCGATGTAACTTAAAATAAGAAAAGCCTTCCTGAACTCCAATTCTCCCAACGCAACGTACTGAGGAATCAATGCTCGGTTACCTTCGATGCGTGAACTCGTACTCGAACTCAAAGGGGAGCCTCTTGGGGGCTCCGGAACTGGAGGGTGACTCACACCATCATTTGGGCCTAAAAAAATTATTAAACACTCAAAATCAAAATCCAACTACTTAAAATAACAAATTGGACAAAAATAAAAAAATAAAAAGGAAAGTAGCTGAGAACCTTGAGAACGATTCATGAAACGGACGACACTGACGGGGCTCCGATTTTGAGAGTGTGAGGGAGAAAGACAGAGGCGTTTCTGGGGGGAACCGTTTGTGTTGTTGTGGCGTTGGTTGATCAAGTACTTTATGAAGCCACTAAACGAATAACGAATTGTCTGGCCGGCGATTGTACGGAGAACATTGAGAGCTTCTTCTTCGCCGAGAGAAGCGAGTGCGTGTCTTGCTTCGGCATCAGGTGGCTGTTTTTTCTGGTTCGTACAGATTTCGTGTATCAACTGCTCTACAGAATGCGGAACAGGAACTTGTGCATTCGAATCGCTCATTTTCAAAGTAGAACACTAGAATGTCACTCCAAAGTTTTTTCAAATTTGCAATGCAACTGAATATGGTTTCCCGCTATTTAAAACTGTGGTGAGTGGTGACTGGTGAGTGATGAAGGAAGCTCAAGAGGAAGACTCCGTTGGCGCACTCTAGTTTGACACGTGTAATTGTTTTAAAAATGGTATTTAAAAGCCGAATCCGTATGGTTAATTATAAAACTGGGTCTCATAAAATGCATCCTATAGAGTAAAGNTAGGAACTGTTCCAATTGGGCAAGCTTGGACTGAAGACCTTGCGCTTTCTAGCTCTTTTATCCTTCTTGTTACATAAGATTGTGGTGGCATCCACACAAATAAATGATATTAAATTAATTAGTTAATTAATTAATTATATATATATATATATATGCCATTGTATCTTTATTTGTAACATATCATTTCAGTCTAATGAGATAGATCCAATGGTATTCAAGCACAATCATGATATAATTATATTAGGACAGTCCTAACAAGAAAATTTTTGTATATACATAGATATAATATTATATATTAAATTAAAGGTTAATTATTCTACGTGTAGTTATTAATTAGTTCAATAATTGGTTGAATCTCTTAGAGTTATACAAGAAGCCTCGGGATTAACTTTAACCCTGCTCACATATTGGGTCACTACGAGTCTACAATTGTGATGACATCTAATGGAAGAAGTATATGTAGGGGCGGAGCTAGAAAATTTATTCTGGGAGGCAAAAAAGTAATCTTCAATGAATAGAGGGATCCCATAAAAGTAACAAGTTACATTTACAAGGTTGTTAAGCTCAGAACTTGGGGTGGCCAAAGTTAAAAACTGAATTTATACATTGAGTATCTATGGTAATAAAAGATGTTGAGTTATAAATTTCTGTATAAATTTGTTCGGGGGTTTACTATATACATTGAGTATCTATGGTAACAAAAGATATTTATTTAGAGTACCATATATATGTATATATTAAAGTTTGTGTTATAATTTAGTGGTGCTATTCAGTAATAATTCAGGAAGGATAAAGTGGAGAAAATAAGATAAAAGGGATGAAAGTGAGAGAAGTGAGAGGTGCTTTCTATAACTTGGATGATTTAAGGATGAAAGGGATGGGGGTATTTATAAACAACACCTCCACCCCACCCCCCCCCCCCCCCCCCCCCCCCCCCCCCCCCCCCCCCCCCCCCCCCCCCCCCCCCTCTTTAACCGACTCAAGGTTACCTCCAAAATGGTGGAGGTTCACCTTTTTATAATACTCCCCTTTGGACATCACAAATAATTGTATTTAACCTTACTCAAGAAAAACCCAGTGGGGAAATAAAAAAAAACCTAAGTAAAGAAATACAACTCTACAATGAAGTTGGACATGCTTCATACTGCCTCATTAAAAACCTTGTTAGGAAAACCCAGTGGGACAAAACCTGATCAAGGAAAAAAGAGTACAGTGCACATATATCCAGTACAATAAACAGTTCAATAAACTTTTTTTAAAAACTCCCCCTAATCAATGCTCCTCTTGATTAATGCTCCCCCTCATAATGGTAGAATTAATTTAGTAACTTATTGAGCCTTCGCATACCGATGTTATAGACTAGCTTTTCAAAGGTTGATGTCGGTAAGGCTTTAGTGAATAAATCTACAAGATTATCATTGGAGCGTATTTGTTTGACATCAATCTCTTGATTTTTCTAGAGTTCATATGTGTAAATGAACTTTGGTGAAATATGTTTGGTTTTGTCTCCTTTGATATATCCTCCCCTGACTTGAACAATACATGCTGCATTGTCTTCATTTATAATTGTGGGAGTATTTGAGATACATGGCAATTTGCATGTACTTTTAATATGATGGATGACAGATCTTAACCATATGCATTCTCGGCTGGCTTCGTGAAGTGTAAGAATCTCATAGTGGTTGGAGGAAGTGGCAACCAATGCTTGTTTTGTTGAGCACCATGATATTGCAGTATCATTATAAGTGAAAACATATCTCGTCTACAAGCGGGGATCAGAAAGGTACTCGACATCTATATAGCCAACTAATTTAAGATCATTATCAGACTTCCTTGGATAAAATAATCCCCAGTCTTTTGTTCCACTAAGGTAACGAAAAACATGTTTGATCTCATTCCAATGTCGGCGAGTTGGTACAAAGCTAAATCTTGCCAACACATTCACTGCAAATGCTATGTCTAGTCTCGTACATTGTGCCAAATAAATAATGCACCTATTGCGTTTAGATATGGTACTTTAGGACCAAGTATCTTTTTGTCGTCTTCTTTAGGATAAAATGGATCCTTTTTAGGATCAAGAGACCGAACTACCATTGGGGTACTTAAGGGGTGAGATTTATCCATATTAAATCGCTTAAGGATCTTTGTAGTATAATTTGATTGATGGAGCAAAATTCCATCTGAACAATGCTCGATCTGCAGGTCGAGACAATACTTTGTTTTCCCTAGATCCTTCATTTCAAATTCTCTTTTTAAGTACTCAGCAGCTTTTATGGCCTCTTCAGGAATCTCTATTAAGTTCATGTCATCGACATATACTGCCACAATTGCAAATCTTAATTTTAACCTTTTCATAAAGACACACGGGCATACAGGATCATTGATGTATCCTTCCTTAATCAGATATTCATTGAGACGATTATACCAAATTCGTCCTGATTGTTTCAACCCATATAACGACCTTTGCAATTTTATTGAATCCATGTTCCTTTTATTTGCTTCTAGTACCTTGAATCCTTCAGGGATTTTCATATAGATATCAGTATCCAATGTACCATACAAATACACAGTGACAACATCCATGAGACACATCTCGAGTCCGTCTAAGACTGATAAACTAATCAATTATCAAAATGTGATAGCATCCATCACTGGTGAATATGTCTCATCAAATTCCGGGTCTTTGTAGGAAACCTTGAGCCACTAGTCTGGCCTTATACCTACCAATCTCATTTTTCTCATATCGTTTCCCTATGAATACCCACTTGTATCCTACAGGTTTCACATTTTTAGGCGTTTTGACTAGAGGTCCAAAAACATTACGTTTTGCTAGGAATGTTAATTCTGCTTGAATTGCCTCTTCCCATTTTGTCCAATCATGTCTTTGTCAACATTCATCAACAGAACATGGCTCAAACTCATCATTCATAATTTCAGTAGCTGTTGCGTATGAGCATATGTTATCGATAATAGTTGTTTCACAATTCCACATTTCTTTACTACGAGCATAGTTTATAGAAATTTCTTCATTCTATGTTCTTGCATTCCTTCAGGGATTTGTTCCTCTTCAGGGGTTTATGTCCATTCAGGGACTGTTAACTTTTCTAGAGTTGGTTTAAAAGGTGTGGAATTGTCAATTGTTCCAGTATTGTCAATATTGGCACCTATTTGATTTTATGCCTTTCGTTTCCTAGGAATAATATCCTTGGCTCTAACCGGCCTACAATGCTTTGGTGTATAAATGATGAATCGATCGATGCCCGTATGGATTGTTCATTGGTAACATCAATCTGTCTTTACTGTATCTGTAAATGCATCAAGCATTTGGTTGGCAATATTTTGTAAAAGAGTTATTCGTTGCACTTCAATTTCAGATTGAGATGTGCGAGGATCTAAATGAGACATAGAATTTACTCTCCAAGAAATTTCAGGCCTTACTTTTGGAGGCTTTACCTTTCCCCCTAAAGGAGGAAATATTGTCTCATCAAAATGGCAATCTGCAAAACGTGCAGCAAATAGATCACCCGTCAAAGACTCAAGATATCTGATGATGGATGGTGAGTCATATTCCCAAACAACGTTGGGGTCCCATTTTGGTGCATTGAGGGGGTGCAATTAAAACTTGCACAGCACGGCCAAAAGTTCTTAAATTGGATATATTAAGCTGGTGTCCAAATACAAGCTGTATTGGATAGTATTGATGATATGCAGTGGGTCTTAGCTAGGCGAATTAATGCCGCAACATGTAAAACAACATGAGCCTAGGTAGAAGTCGGTAATTGCGTATGTAATAGCAAAGTTCTTGCAATTAATTGGATACGTTTTACAAATGACTTTGCCATACCATTCTAGGTATGTACATGTGGTATTGGGTGCTCAACATCAATTCCCATTCCTATACAATAGTCACCAAATTAATGTCTTTAAGGTAAACTCACCAGCATTGTCCAAACATATTGCTTCAATTGGGTAATCCAGAAAGTGTGCTCGTAATCTGATAATTTGTGCCAACAATCTAGCAAAGGCAACATTATAGGTTGATAGTAGACAAACATGTGACCATCATGTCGATGCGTCAATCAGTACCATAAAGCAGTGGAAAGGTCCACTTGGTGGATGAATAGGTCCACATATGTCCCCATGAATTCTTTGTAAAAATGATGGGGCTTCTAGACCAACTTTAGTGATGGATGGCTTGAGTGCCAATTTGCCTTGTGAGCAAGCAATACAAGCACTCCCATTAGGTGATAGAATCTTCAAGTTCTTTAATGGGTGACCATGTGAGTTTTCTATGATTCTACGCATCATAGTGGATCCTGGGTGACCAAGACGATCGTGCCAAATCTTAAAAATTTAAGGATCAGTGAACTTCTAATTCATAACTGCATAGACTTCAACATTCTTCAAGAATGTGTAATATAATCCTGATGAGAAAGTGGAGAGTTTCTTCAATACATGCTTCTGGCATGAAAGACTAGTAGTGATGCATAGAAACTCTCCATCCTTTTCACTTAAAGTTTTAATGTGGTATCCATTGAGTCGTATATCTATGAAACTAAGCAAATCTCTTCTAGATTTGCTAGAATATAAAGCATCATGGATATTTAATTTAGTTCCACTTGGTAACAAAAGTGTTGCTCTTCCATAGCCCTCAATTATGTTTACCGACCTTGATATGGTATTTACCTTAGCTTCAGTAAATGTCAAATCTGAAAAATATTTTCTATCCCAAATGATGGTGTGTGTCGTTGCATTATCTACTATACAAATGTCTCTATTATTATTGGATATCGATGTTTCATTTTTGAAGTTCATCCTTTAAAGAAAAAAAA